TGTTGGAGTTTTCGGCTGATGACTGTTCGGGACGTGCTCGCCTTGACTTGCGTGCCTTGCGTGACAGCGCGAAGAAGACGAGGATCAGGATCATGGTGATGATGTCACAAGCGACTCACCTCTCGTGGTCTATGAAGTGTCCTCCTACTTTCTGCACCCGCAGCCACCGTGGACCAGTTGAACGCGTGCCACTTGAAGTTTCGATGGGTCACGGCCTTCCATTGCCAAAATATTCCCTCCGCTGCCCCACTGGCTCGTAAGCTTTAGTCGAGGGCTGGCCTTCTCCGATGTGCTGAGGATCCTCCCCACTTCTGAGATCCTGAGCCCCAAACTTAAGCCCCCAACCCTGCCAGATCGCTTAGAAGTAGGGAGGGCCAGCTTTGAAAAACATCCCACACCGAAAGCCATACAGCCCTCCAGCCTCAGCCCTAAGCCCAACAGGTACAACCCTACGGTTTGTTGAAGGTCTGGGGGGCCCGGCGTGGCGTAGTGGGGGGGGCTCGAGCTGGACCAATGTCGCCGCCTGACCCCCCATGAAGGACGGGTCGAAGGCCTCTGTCATCCCTTCGTCTGAGAGTTGGGGTTTAGGGTTTAAGGTTTAGGGCGTTTAGGGTTTAGGGCGTTTAGGGTTTAGGGTTTAGGGTGTTGTTGCAGAATACATGTTTGCGGTGTGGGGTTCCAGGTTCTTCCTTCTTCTAACTGCCTTTTCATGGGGTGGCTTTTTAGTGTTTGACGCTTCGCTGTCGCTAAAGAGCTGGAGTGATTTTGGGCGGGCACTAAGAGCAGCTTCTACTCTGACCTGAGCTTGTCTTTTGATTTCTAGTACAGTTAGGTCTACGGATGTGGCTTATAGGTTGAGTTGGAGTTTGTTGGGCTTGCGGGGGTTTAGAGGTTGGGGGTTGTGGAGTCCGAGGCGTCGTGTGTCAGCCTTAGCCCGAACCACCCTCAAAACTACTCAAAACTGGCAAGCTCCAAAACCCGTCCCCTCCTGACCCCAGAACCCACCCCCCGAAAGCCGCAACCCTGAACCCGGGGCTCATGGCACGAGGCTGCCATCTCCAGCCGGTCCACCGCGGCCTCCCTTGCGAGGCTTTTTTTTTTTTTTTTCAGACCTTGGAGTTGAAGGTCTCGAGGGTTTTTTTCAGCTTCAGGAGTCGGATTTCAGTGCTTTAGGGGCTTTGGGGGGTTCAACGCTTCTTGCCCGAGGTTAGAAGGTTCAGGGCTAGCGGCTAGCTTTCGTTGTTTCTTTTTGGGGTATCATTGCGCATCATGTTCGTTCTGCAGAAGCCTGGTTCCATCTGGACGAGACACCGTAAGGAGACCCTAGCTTCAGACCCCAAACACTGAGCGTCAGCGCACTAGGGGCTAGGGTCACACGGCTAGGGTCACTAGGACCCCTCAGAAAAAATTTGGGGATTGAAATGGTCGTAGCAAAGTACATCTTCGGAATCATTCAGGGCATTCGGGGGCATATGCAAGCTTGGGCAGGCCTGGGCAGACATGCGTCGTATTGATTCCCAAAGACCCAAGCGGTCAGCCTCTCAACATACCCTGCTGTTTTGCTAATTTGGGAGCCATTCTATCGGTGAATTTCGTTGAGCTCATGACTCCGGGGAACTCCATTCATGTCATGCAGGTCCCCAAGCGATCTGCAGCCTGGTGACGCCGGTTCAGGTGGACTCTTGCTTGTGTTCCGCTGGCGTACGAGAGCAGACAAGTCAAATTCCGGCCCAACACTTTTTAACTTCAGCATCCTGTACCCTTAGGACCGGACAGTTTTGCGTCCTTGGGCCATGACAGGTCCAGTTGCTGCGGGGACGCACCAGGTGGGGTCGGATGCGGGCTGAGATGCTCACCCAAGTGAAGCCTGAAACTCAAAGTTGCCCAAGCCTCCTTCCTGCTCAACCCCCTAAAACGAAAACCCTTCAGTTGTCACCAATGTATTGAAACGCGTGCCAGCTGGCTTTGAAGGGTGGTTCGGCGATCCCTGCAAAAACGGGTTTGCATACTTCAGCTCAGGCAAGTAGTCGTACCGTTTGGCATGCGTGGCAGAATGCCGTCACATTTGGAGTTTCATAGCCTGTGGTGAAGACGGCAACCCAGCATACCGTAGTGGGTCAGGCGGTGTTTTTTTTGGCCAAAAAGCATAAGGCCCGACAGCCGACACTCCTGTGGGGGGGGGGCCCAAAGCCTTTAAAGCCCTCGACCCCCCAAAAGGGCCCCCAAACCTTGTGGGTTCCAGGCCGGCACTTCGGCATGGGCAAGGCCTGCGGCTCTGGTCGACGGACGTTCTTTTTATACTTTTTTACTTGCTTGAGGTTCCGTGAAATAGGGGTGCCCTTTCTGGGGGTTCCTATAAGAAAGATTAGAGTACTTGGGGGGTAATATTCGGGGTACCCCAATTTTGGGAAACCCCAGATGGCTTTGAGGAGACCGCCAATATTGCAGTAATCGTGTTTCAAAGCGGTAGCGCAGGAGTGAGTTCTCGAGCCCGGTTGCCTGCGCAATCCGATCTCCGAGCGAACAAAGCCATCATACGGCAGCTTGTGCTGAAGAGATGAAGATGGGATCACCATGGCTAGCAGAAGATGGCTGCACACACCGTTCTCACTCCGTGCTGGCTCATCACTTCTTTCTTCTCAGGAAGGTGCAAACAGACTTGGTTCTGGTGAGAAGCTGTTACAGCTCTCTCACTCTCTCTCTCTCTCTCTCTCCACCTTTCTCTCAACGTCGTGGCTATTTCTCTCCCGCGCTTTCGAAATAGCTTGGAGAGATATGTGAGATTATGTGAGGCTTACAGCGCAAAGTGCGGCTCTCCCAGACCACCAGAGAGGGAATTCGTTCGTCGGCCCTTCAAGCAGCTACCCACGCCACGCAAGAGGAGTTTAGGCTTCAGAGCCCACGGCTTTCGGGCCTTTATGGGGGTTCAGGGCTTTTAAGGCTTGTAGGGTTTATGGGGTTTAGGCTTTGTGCATTCGGAGGAGACCATAAAGAGGGCTTGAACATGGGGTTGACGGGAACGTTGATGTTGAAGTTCAAGGGACTAAAGGAGGGACCCGTAGAGGGGTTATTTCGGGGTTGTTCAGGGGCTACTTCGGTATATAGGGACTATATATATATATACATATAAGGTAAATGTAGAGGTTACATAGGGGTCATATGGGGGAACAATAATTAAGGGTCCCTTCCAGGTCTCCCTCCTTAAGGAAGGCTGGGCTCAAAGCAGCTGCTCCGCAGGGCGCCCTTCGATTCGGAACGGTTCCCGGCGGAATGGGTGCTTGTAACCCCACTTATGAAAGTCTACTTGTGGCTTACTTCGAGGACTTAGGGGTCCTATAAGTGCAGATAAGTTTGGGGCTATAAGTACCCTGAACCTCCAAGTAATACCGAGTACAGGTACAAATCCTGGGTTCTTTTTTGAATGCGATGTCGAAGACGGAAGCTGACGAGGAATCACCCACTGCCAGCTACTCATCGTGCCAAATGGTGACCTTGATTCTGGTCACTGGGCTCAGCCTCTTCAGTTTCGGCTATAATGCTGCGAACATCGGAGGTGTGCTCTTATACCTCGATAGTTCCCACACGGACTGCTTCAAGAGCTCCGTGTGCCTCAACAGCTCCCTCATGAAGGGGGTCTTGGTCTCCTCTTGCTTGGTGGGCGCATTTCTGGGCGCGTTGTTCGCTGGGACTCTGGCAGCGCGACGGGGGGCAAGGAGCACGCTGCTGATGAACAACTTCTTTTTCGTCGCTGGGTCCATCTGCAGTGCTTTGGCGCCAGGGATCCTTTGCCTGGTGCTCGCGAGATGTGTTGTTGGTGTGGGCGTTGGCGCAGCTTCGGCAATGGTACATGTCTACATGGGCGAGGTGGTACCAGCTGAGCGTCGTGGGGAACATGGAGCCCTTCTAGCAATGATGGGCACAAGTGGAATCCTGGTGGCCAATCTTATGTGCTGGTACTTGGCTGAACGCTGGCGATGGGTCTTAGCTTTCGGAGGCTTGCCAGCCATGATTCAGCTCCTCTGGGGCTCGTTGATTATGCCCGAGTCGCCGCTTTGGACGGCCAAACTTCAGCGGGGCAGAAGCAGTCCAATGCATTCCATCCAAATTGTGTGCCAGGACATCAACAGTCCCGAGAGTAGCGGCCGCAGCGACGTTGCCTGCTTCATCGAGTCCGGTGGTCCTTGGCTCAATCTGTTGAAGTCCATTGGAACAGGACGTGCAATCCCGCCCCTCATCATTGGCTGTGGGCTGCATGTGCTCGGCCAGGCATCAGGTATCAACGTTATCATCTACTACGGTCCCAAGATGCTTACACTTGCAGGGTTTGCAAACTCCGCAGCTGTGTTCATCAGTGCAGCTCTTAGTCTCTCCCAGATGTGCTCCACCTTTCTCCTATCACGCCTGGTGGACCGACTTGGCCGAAAGCCCATGAGCTTCATTGGCGTGGGCTGCATGCTTGTCAGCCTCGGTGGCATCGCTTATAGCTACCTTTTGCCTCCCAGTCATCGTGCTGGTTGGGTGGCACTCATCTCAAGTTTCGCGTTCCGCGTGGCCTTCTCGGTCTCCTTGGGGCCTTTATCTTACATCATCACAGCTGAGATCTTCCCAGAAGACATCCGAGCTCCAGGGGTGTCACTTTGCTTGGCGGTGAAGTGGGTGGCAAACTTTCTGATCTCGTTGACCTGGCTGCCACTCGCAGAGGCGCTGATGAAGGGGCATACATAGTACACAAGCAGTTTCAAGTTTGTTCTCCATTTGGCATCTGCATGCCCCATTGAAGACATGGGTCATCATGTAGATCGCAGTCGTTCATATTGTCCTAAAAGCCCTTGTGGCAGGTCGTGGGGTTGGCTGGCACATTCGTTCTATACGGCATCATGTGCGTCTTGGCCATCGGTTTCTTGGCGATCTATGTCCCCGAGACCTCAGGAAAGACCTTGGGGCAGGCATCTCAAATTGCCATGCGGGAGCTGCAGGAGTTCAGCCCCCGCAGCCCCTAAGGCTCAAGAAGGAGTATAAGTACCGCAGCTGTGGAGTAGCTGTGGGAGCGCAAGGCCTAAATCAATTCGGATCCGGCCATCAACAGATACTGAATTTCGCTGATACTGCCAGATGGCTGGCAGCGAATCTTCGCAAGCTTGCGGTGGATCTTCTTGAGACACCAACCCTTTAGTTGCTGTCAGGAACCCAATACAGAAACACGTGAACACGCCGTAATCCCATAAGGCCATGTCTGCTGTTGGTCACACTCTCTGTTCATCTCTGTTCGGGCTGAACGAGACATACATTTCTTCTTTGGGCTCCTGCGCATTGCATGTTTTCCATGCCAATGCCACAATACCCAGAATACTCAGTGCTTTGGCTGCGAATCTTCGTTTTGTCTTCCAGCCTTGTCGAAGAGGGCCACAAAGCGGGCTCAACGGCACCCAGCGCATTCCTCTGAGAATTGCGCACTCTATTTGTTCAGCAACGACTGCCCCTCACAGCGTGCCAGGTTTCTAGTGTAGCTGTTGCTTTGCCAGATCCCCCTGATCCCTCTGCCTGATGTAGGAATCTGGCCAGAACATGAGCATGCAGAGTAAATAGGCGCATGTGAAAGAAGATGGGCAGGCATCTTTGCACCTTTGTGGAGGATGTGGGAGCGGCAAATTGCCAGCACGCGCTATCTTCCAATATGGCTAGACCAGGACCAGCATGGGTTCGCCTTTGCATGACTTCCCTCTATGCGTCTGCTTCGAAAAGCGCTTTTCCCGCAACTTCCACAGCTGGCCCAGCTGGCCCAGCTGGCCCAGCTGGCCGTATGGCATGTGAAGGATTCGTGCCGTGAATCTTGAAGTTGGTGTTCGACTGTTTACAGAGGCATAAAGCATATTGGCTACGTATGGTTTAGGCGCCTACTGTAGTTACAACCCCCCGTTCCCCATCCCCCCCTCCCCGTTCCGCCCCAACCTGCTCGAGGCCTGCTTCAAGCCCGGCCAGGGGTCGCCCAGCGACTCGCCGCAGATGTTTCATGATCCCAGGAACTTTGCATTTTGGGTTTTTTTTCAGAGCTTGGGGGCCGAAGCCAAGAAGTCTGGACACTGATGCCTTTGCACAAGTAGCATGCCAGAATGCGATCATGCAACTTGCTTGCCTGAAGCATTGCCAGCCAGCTCTGGTTCCAGGTGGTGCCCAGGCTTTCGCTACGGCGCGTCTTCAATCAGAAGGAACGGTGCAACCTCCACATTTGGCCGCGTAAGCCGCAAACGTCTTTGACAGGGTTAAACAAGAACTGACGACTGCTGATCACAGGGGTCGTGAGTGCGCCGCACAGCAAAAAGTCACACGCTATATAAACCCTTAAAACCAGCTTGCCGTGCCCTGTCGCGCTTGCAACTCCTGCAGTCTCCTATAGGTGCCTTTAAGTAGCATCCTGTGCGACAAAGATCCCAAAAAGGAACCCCACCTGAATGCAACCCCTCATCTGCCAGGGCCGGCGACTACTCCTTGAAGATGGACTACAAGGCACCAAGAGGGGTTTGGGGTTTAGGGGTTTCTTTTTCCGGGAACCCTCAGGGTGCTGAGGTGAAATTCCCTCTATGTAGGCTCTATCTGTAGGATTCTCTGGGCCATTCCTCTACCTTGTCGGCACAGCTGCGCGATGTGCTCGTACTTCTCACCGAAGGCGGAATATGAAAGTGTTGCAAGACTTGACAGCACATGGGGGTCGGGCTACATTAAGGCCCCGTCTTGGGGAGCTGTTTCGTATCCCGATTTCACTACCAGGGTCCAGAAATAGGGGGCCCTTATTCAGAACCCCCACGCCCCAGGTCTGCTACTGAACGGTTGTTTCCCCCTCTTTTTACCCGAAATTCCGCAGACAGCCCAAGATCAGATCCTCAACGCCGAGTCAACAAGCCGACCGTGGAAGGAGCGCAAACACCCAAGCCTCGAACCCCAAAGCCACGGCAACAGCTTGCCTGACATCCAGTGCGACACACCGGAAATTTCGGAGTCAGAGGACATGGAGGAGGAGAAAGGGTTTGGGAGCGGGTGTAGGGCTTAGGCTGCAATGAGCAGTTTATATGTCAAACCTTTGCAGGGACCTTGTGAGAAGTGTTTGCGATAGGGGACCCTCAGTTTAAATCACTCCTACATCGGCTGCCACTTCCCATTTCACAGGGCCGCAGGTGCTGCAATCCCACCACAAGTAAAAATTGCCCGGCAATGGGGTGACTTCACATCAGTCATCAGGTACGTACTATAACCTCTTCATAACCTTTCAATGGTACGATTGAGGATTGATATCAGGGCCAGTTCTCCACCGCAGAACCTGAGTTATCCCCCCAAGATGCCCCCAGTCGTCACTGCCGCGCCCTCACCAAAAGACAGTTGATCTGATTGCAGTCGTTTTCGATGCGCTTGGTTGAGCTCTTTATGTGGGTCCCGTGCTCACTTTAGCTTTGTCATTGCTTTTGATTCACACTTCGGTACAATCAGCACCGCATGGCGGTCTCGTGCAATGCCTTATGCCGTTGTTACTTGCAGTGCGCTTTCAATGAGCCGACTGTTCCGCGGCCGCTGTGGGAGAGCGAAATAACGGTTCTGGAGCTTGTGTCTTTTATTTAAGAGCTGGTCATCACATCCCTGGGAACAGTACCAGGTCCCTGCAATGCCCGGGAGCAACCCATATCGCGCATAGACTGGCATAGACATGAGGACAGGCACATGATGGGTCTAGGACCCATTGGGCTAGGGTTAGCATGAAGGTACCATTTCACACGGTGGTGGCTGTTTTTTTTGGCATATGCTGGCAGGAGTATCCCGAGATTTCGGCAATGCTCCTGGATGAGGCCTGGGTCGACAAAGCAGTCCCTAAACTGGCTTGAAAAAAACTCAACCTTGAGGCCTAAGGTCACTTGTTAAAAAAAAAATCGCAGAAAGTCTTTTCGGAGTTTAGGCCTTTCGGCCCGGCGCAGGGTTGAAAGGGGCAAGTTTAGGGATCTGGGCGGGTGTCCTGCGGTGTCATCTCCCAGCTCTTTGGGCGCTTGGTAGGGGTTAAGCGGTTTAAGGTTAGCGGCGCAGGGTGTAGGGTGCAGGTTGTCAGATTCAGGGTGTGATTGTGGCAGGCGATCGACGCGATGTTGCTGAGACGGCGGCACCACTGCAGGACGGAGGCCTGTGAGCCCTCCAAGATAGGTCCCAAGCAGGATGCACTGAAGCCAACGGCCCTAGTTACCCGCAGTTGAACTCCAAAAACCCCAAAAACTATCCTAACTTCAAACCGCCTTCGACCCGGAGCCTCAATCCTCAGCTCTGAACATCAGCCCTGAACCCAAGATCCGTTAGTCCTCACACCCTAGATGCCTAAATCAAAAGCCTCAACAACGTCCAAACGCCCAAAAGTCCTACCAAGTGCCCAACAGTCACCACAATGTGACCCCAAAGCTCTTTCACGCCCAAGAAATATGGCCCAAGAGGTCCCAAAAGAAGCCCAGGCGCAGAGCAGGCGCCAGGCGCGCTCCCACGTGCTCGACAGGGGGATTTCAGGGTTTAGGCTTTGGTGGGCATTCTCAGGTTTTTAGGGCTTATGAGGGGAAATGTCGCTATAGTTAGGATTCGCGATGTCCCGACCATCATGCCCATAGATTCCGCTCTCACACGTATCCCAAGAGTGCAACGTACGTTCAAGAGTTCTGCAGTTGTCGCAGTATTCTTCTTCTTCTTACTGTAGGGCCTCGAGCCACGATGTCCGTCACTGATTGCGACTTCCGAACGCATGTTTATGTCCAGCCACTGGAGCTTCCAAGATCGCCCAGAACCAGCCCAGCCCAGCTGTTCCAGAAGCGAAGGGCAAGTTACGGCGTGATAGTGATCGTTTCAAGGGCCGGCCAGGGTATAGCAGTCTGCGGACGGCAGGGTGCACCTAGAGGACCTAGATTGGCAGCGCAGCCAGGCACTCATTCTAAGGGCTGTTTGAGAGGTACCTGCAATGCTCGTCAGGAGGCAATCGCTGCAGCTTGCAGTGCGGCGCAAGAATTCCCATTCACAATGGTGGGATTGAATCTCAACGTATCATGAACTGCTTAAAAAGGCACCCCCTCCCCTCCTCACCAACCCTTCCCTTCAAGACACACAAACCACCAGACGCCCCATAGGAAGCAGGGACGGACTGGAGACGCCCTTTCAGATGCTGGTGGCAGCGCGCCTTTGGCGGTTGCTTCCTCAACGACGAGGCCTGGTAATTCTTGAAGGTTCATGTCATGGCTCCAAGTAGGGGTTTCCGACAATAGGGGTACCTTATCGGGGCCCTTATTAAAGCGATCTGCTCAGGCATTGGCGAAGCCAACGCGCTAGGTATTCAGGAAAGTGCCCTACAATGCTCCACTGGCAGCTGTACTGGCCGCTTCAAGGGCGGCTCCACGGGCGGCTTCTCGGGCGGAGTGTGCGGGCAGTGGCATTACGGGAGGACTTTAGGGGTGACTGGGCGGAGTTAATTAATGGGCGGAGGTTACGGGCGGGCAGTTCAGCTGGCGAGTGTGGCAAGGCGAGCTCCGACTCATGGGCTTGTGAGCCTGCATCTTCTGAAATAAAATTGTCAAAGCAAAAGTTCGCGGAACCCGCAGGAAAACTCATTAAACCCTATAAGTCCTCAACCCTAGAACCCGCCGGTTTGTTTGGTCCCCGCAGACTTGTGAAGAGGAAGAGGGCACGCCTCGCGGCTTGACCATCAGCGTGGTAGAGACCTTCCCGGCTCGCAGCTGAGGTAAATACCAACGTTGGCAAGGGGTAGATTTGGGTAGATTTGGGTAGATGGATGGTGCTGTCTAGGATACGATCAACTTTGCTGGCGTGCCAACTAGTACAACCGGTGGACCTAGCAGATTGAGAACCTACTTCGCCAATCCCCGGCCTTAAGCAGTAGAGCATGAGCTCAAAGCCCCCAACGCTTCACCCAAAAGCCTCTTAATCCGCCGAAACCCTGAAGCCCTAAACCCCTATAAGCCATTTAGCCCCTCCG